TATATATATATATATATATATATATATATATATATATATATATATATATATATATATATATATATATATATATATATAAGCAATTTTTGAAAGAAAAAACAAATTTCACTTTTATATAAAATTAAATATTATTAAATTGAATTTATACATAAAATAATAATAGCAAATAATTTACAAAATATTACAAAAAAAATTATAGTTCATCGGCACACTTTGGGAAAAATCGCAGAATGGTCGTCGCAAGCTGCCCACATTTCGTCCAGCAATTCAATTTTTTTAATTATTTTCCCAAAAAACAGGGAAGAAAAATCAGTAGTATTACTTTACACTAATTTTTAACTGATTCGTAGATCTTTTAGGAAACACTCATAACTTCACCTGTTCGCAGTTTCGCAGTAAACTGACAGAACCAGCTGTACTGGCAGGTATAAACTTTCTCTACCATTTAGTTATTTTACATAAGAATCCAAGGTCCCGCACATATACGTGGACAATCGATGAAAATATTTTGTTATATGTTGTTTGTCGAGATTGACCATTTATCACATATATAAATATACTTTACTATTAATGCAAAATAACTGCAAATAAATAGATAGGAAATGAAGAGCAAGAATGTCAAGTGAAATTTTGCCAAGATTATAAATCTTCTCAAATAGAACACAAAATCATAAAAGTCAAAATGACGTCCAATGATATAAAAGCGATGTTATTTTAACGTCAAACGATATCATTTTCATGAAAATTTAATGATGTCATAAATTTAATAATAATATCATTTTGACATCAAAATGATTTTGTGTTCTACCTGGGTTTCTTCCGAAACCTTCAAATTTGGAGAGTGAAAGTATAAAACACGTTTTCAAAAAAGAGAAAGCTCAGGAAAAAAGCTACATTTTTACATTTACCGGAAAATCTAAGAAATGTTAAAAAAACTTGTTTCGAATTTTTATAAAACATTCCCCGCGGGGCTTTTGTGCGTGTGAACTCACAAAACGGATTGTCAGGTATAAACGAGAGCCAGGTGTAACAGACCCTTCCCTTTCGACCCCTCTTTCGGCATAAAAGGTCTCGACGGTTTACGGACGCTCTCCGCTTCGCTAGCAGAATAGTTGCAATGTGAAAAGGCCAAACGGATCCAGCTGCAGTCGCTCGTCCGGTCGGCATCGCGCTCGGAGTGCGCATGATAAAACGGAACGGAGCAGTGCGTTGCGTTTTACGCGACGGCGACGTCGGCGGCGGTCGATGGGATGTGGCGGTGCGATAGGTGGGTTATGATCCGCGCATGGCAGGATCCGCGTTGGTTGTTTTCCAACCGCGAGGACCTACCTGAACCTGTCCGAACCGCTAGGACGGAGCTAGGCGAAGATGGCTGCCTGACAGTGTCGAGGACCGAGAATCCTCGTGCGCGCATCGATCGCGCGCGATGTCTAGGCGGTCGTCCTTGAAAGGAGTGTCCGCAGAGTGTTCGAGTGGACGTTGACATACGAGTCCTGAGATTGATATCGAAGTGTTTCGGTGGTGTTCGGTGAACGTCCCGTCGTCCTCTTGGCACGAACGTCGCTCTTCCGTTCAGTTATCGCTCTCCTTCCCTCTCTCTTTCGTGACAGAGGATATTTTCACATTTGTTGATGAATGATAAATTTTCTATTCGGTTTTTGTTATTGAAAATACAATGCTCCGTGACAAGAATGTCCGAGTGATAGACGAAAAAACGAAGTGATCGAGGCCAATGTTCGTGTAGTTTTTTACATGCATATCAGTAGGAAGAGAGACGACCCTGACTGAAAATTTCTAGGTTATTCGGCAACACGGGCAATATATAACAAGTACGTTGTCGGTTTTACTTAACTTTTAGACTGCCGGAATAGCCACTTTTGTAGCTTTCCCGGCAGTCTAAAGATTAATTGTCGGAACACCGAGCGACATTTCTCGAAGATACGTTTCGGGAATTAGGAGATTCCTCGAGACCTTTACAAATCGTAAGGACCAAATCCGTGAGTTATTCGGGACTCGCAGAAACATGGGCAGATATTTCTCTTCGTTTTAAATACTTCAGAAAGGGAGCTTATCGACGTCCTTCATGTATTAGTCACAAGATAAATGGATTCTGGCTGATTATTTCTAAATCAAATATCACATTTCTAAATTACTTGACAGGGCAATTAGTTAATCGTTGTTGGCCTTAATTAATTACCGAATATCAGACGATAATAGTTAAGAATTATAACTTATTTCGATGAAACAATTGCTTGCCCGCGTGGTGAGGACCATTAAGCATTTACGCTTTTCTTTCGCTTTAAAAGGAGAGAGAACTGAAGTCAGCATCGATACGTTCTTTACATGTTAGGAATATAGATAATTCTAATCGACATATTTTTAATTACTCGATAATTTATCTAACGGTTTGCAATACAAAATTTCTAAATCATATATCAACTTTCTAAATTATTTGATGACAGGGCGATGAGAAGATTGCTGTTGATCTTAACACAAGAAATAACGACCTATTCCTATCAGAGTGGTCAAAATGAGAGGGAAAATGTAAGGATAAAACGTTAATTTATTCTTTTCCGTTTTATTCAACATCGATTAAAAATGCAAAATACACCGTTATGAATTTGAGTAATTCTTATAAGAAATTACGAACCCGCCATTTGACTAATTCGATAGTATTAATTATTTGCCGAAACACACCGGGCGATAGTCATTAAAGACGTTCCAAGGATTCGAAGAACACAGAAACTTGTTTGGAATGGACCATTAGAGTCCGTGACAAATACGTAGAAAAAGGAAGGAAGGAAAAAGGATTTATAGAAATCTTCAACCATTTACAGATGCTTTTCCTTCGCTCTAAGAAGAGAGGGCATTGAAGCCCGTGCCGGCAGACGTAACGGAGAATCCTGGCTCAGAGGTCCGTTACCTTCCGAGGAGAGCAGAGGTAAGCGAACGAGCGAGCAGAAGAAGCGGCGATCCTGTTGGTTTCCACGATACCTCACGGTAGTTACGAAAGCGCGGCCGGCCAACGACCAACGTGCTCGCGCGACTCGTGCGCGGAGAAGCGGAGAATTACGAAAGCCATCACTGCCCATCTCGTAGTCTCGCTAATAAATCGCAAACGTGAACAACACTCCGTGATATCGGATGTGTTGTATACCTGGAATTAACACGGAACGCGAGTGTTTGATTTTGAGCGGAATCATCAGTTGTGAATGGTGTGCGTGAATCGTGCCATAGAGAGTGCTCGTGTCTCTCGAGAGGACGATCCAGGGCGAATACCGCGGCTCTCCTGCGGCGCGCGAGACACGCGGTGAATCGCGTACGTCGACGAAATTCCGTATGCGGCAACGAGGGGGCGGAAGAGGAGGAGCAGGAGGAGGATAACGAGGTCGTCGCAGCAGGAAGCGAACGGTGCGCGTCAGATCTTCGCGAGAGAGATAGCGCGGGGGATCCGTGCGCGTAGGAGTATCCTTGACGTCGTGAGACGCTCGTCCAGGTGAGAAAGTGCGAGGAAGGTGTGCTCTCTCTCTCTCTCTCATCGAAGAATCGACGAAGCGAGAGAAGCATGTGGTAGCGGTGAGCGCGCTACGCGTTACGCTCCACGTCGAGGAGGCAGCCGGAGGATTCTCGGGAAACGGCACCTGCCGACATCCGCTACGAGGGATCACCGTCGTGGGGAAGACGCGAAGGAGAACGCGTCGGTCGAAAGGAGCGAGTGCTATCATCACTTCCGGATGAGTATCGTCGCCGGCGGCTTCCTCGTGGCCGCGCCTCCCGCTAAGAAACGAGAGGTGGAACGCGCGACGATGGCGGCCACGGCCGGCAGGTATGCCGTCACGGAGATGCGCCACTCGAGGAGCGAGGACCTGCTGGGCGCGATACCCGGCTCCAGGTCGCCCAGCCCGAGCGTCGGCCTGCCGGCCACGGCGTCCGAGGACGATCTGATTGCGAGCAGTGCTCTTCGGGATGTGGACGGCTGCGGCTGCGGCGACACCGACGGTAGCGGCGGTAACGGCGGCGGCGGCGGCGGCGGCGGCGGTGGCGACTATGCCACCACCGGAAGGCCGTCGCGGCCGCCGATTATCCTGTCGACGCCGAGGGCGGCGAGGGTGCTCGCCGATCGCATCGATCCGGAGGATTCCATCCGTGACATCGTCACCGAGAACGATCTCTACAGGTTAGTTCCGTCACCGAGAATATAAAGGAGAGCTCTTAAGACTCGTTTACAATATGTGGAGCTTGGCCTATGAAGTAAGAATAGGAGTAAGAAATAAGACACTGATTTATCCCTTGTCCACAACCTTGCACTGGGAGAAAAAAATGATTGGGATAACTATAATCTCATTATATTTTATAGTTCGTTGTATTCATAGTTAAGTCATCCCAAAGTTTATTTTAAGATACTATGTAACCAAATGAAATGGATTTTACAATATTTCAAAATGAACTTAAGACAAGCTTAAGTATCAGATCGTTTTAATTTCATCTTAAGATGCTGTAAGGTTGTCTTATTGACATTATTAAGATGATCTTAAATATAAAATTGGACTATCCTAGGAGAAAAATACCTAAAAAACACGAGGAAAAAAATATTTAAAAAAGAAAAAAATACTTAGCCAATAATATTAATAACATATTTAATTAAATCTAAATTCTTTTGTTTGGATAGAATAAATAATAATAGAATAATATATTATATTCTTTTCTGCTCACTTATAATAATTATAAATGAAAATTAGATGTATTTTATATTCTATTTAAAAAATATATTCGATGAAAATGACAGTAAGGAGAAAAGGATAGATATGTTTACAAAAAGAAAAGACTATCTTGCGAAGAGTCGCGCGGCCATTTTAAATCAACACTGAAAAGATTAAGAAAAAATATACATTTTTTATTTCTTAGATATTTTTCTTCTAGAATATGAATGTCGCACTGAGAGAAAAAATAATTGGAATAATTATAATCTCACTATATTTTATAGTTTGTTTTGGCCTCAAACATATATTTATAGTTCATCTAAACATGAAGATATAGTAGAATGAACACAGATTTATAGTCACCATCTTATTACTCTATACCTATATATGGTAAAACACCTTTTGGGAATATAGTTATATGTATCTATATTTGCCAAATATTCCAATTATATTGACTATATAAAATAGTTAATTTCTCTTACTATTCAATATTTGCTACCTTATTATATTTTTTATTTCAAATAATTATAATTCTTGATAAAAATTTTACACGGGTCAGTTATATTATGCTTATATTGTAAATATTACAAATATTATGGTAACATTTACTGTAAAAATTATATTCCTAACTATAATCTTTTTACTATGTCATTATAGTTCCAAATATCATACATTTTTCTCTCAGTGTGCTTTAATCTTTAAGCCGTAATAAATTGACCAACCACAGTCGATTTTTAAAAATAATCAACTGTGGTCGATTTTTAAAAATAATCAACAGTCGATTTTTAAAAATAATCAACTGTGGTTGGTCGATTTCTTACGGCTTAAGAATTAAAGTAAGGTTGTGGACAAGAGATTACTTCGCTTATATATACGTCTAAACTCTAGTTCCCTTACATTAAAAGTATTTAATTGACAGAAAGACGTAAGGGGATGTAGATCCATCCCTAAGCTTTGAACTTCGTCTACATAACGTGGAGTAAGCATGCACAGCACAGTACAATTTTTGCTTTACATTTTTTATAGTTTTCAAAGTAGAAAATCAATACGTAAGCTACGTTATAGCTGCGTGATGAATCTCAGGATGCATGATAACAACTCAACTTATCTCGAATAGTCATTTGGAAATATAAAAAAGATTATATTTATAAACTATGTCGCAATAACAGTTAACTAAATATAGAGGAAACTACACGGAAAAAAAGGTTTGGCTGAATTAACCAAATATCTGGTCAAATATGAACGATCCAGAAATTCCGATTGAAGTAACCCGAATTCTGAATTTCTGGATCGTTCATAATCGACCAGATATTTGGTTAATTCAACCAAACCTTTTTTTCCGTGTAATTAAATCTATAGTATTTCTTTTATTTCTTTTATTTTATTTATTTTATTCTTCTTTTATTTCTTACACTATAAAGAAGAATATGCTACTCATTAAGTGAGATATAAGCTTTTTGACAATTGATTCGCACTGAGAGAAAAAAATAGTTGGAATAACTATAATCTCACTATATTTTATAGTTCGTTTTGGCCTCAAACATATATTTATAGTTCATCCAAAAACGAAGATATAGCAAAATGAACACACATTTATAGTCACCATTTTATTACTTTATGTGTATAGTAAGGCACGCTTTGAGAATATAGTTATATGTACCCATATTTTCCAAATATTCCAATTGTACAGACTATATAAAATAATTAATTTCTCTTACCATTTAATATTTGCTATCTTACTATGTTTTTTATTTCAAATAATTATAATTCTTGGTAAAAGATTTACATGAGTCAGTTATACTATGCTTATATTGTAAATATTACAAACATTATGGTGACATTTACTATAAAAAAGATATTCCTAACTATAATCTTTTTACTATGCCATTATAGTTCCAAATATCATACATTTTTCTCTCAGTGCGGGTAACTTCTAAACTCATTCTCTCCTACTTACTGAAATAGATGCAAATACAATTCCTTGCTAATCAGCAAGACTTAAACACATTGATTTATTTATCGAAGATAGAAGCGATTTAGTATCTCCGATTTGTGTCGTATATCACGCTAATTTTATTTTTGTCGTCGTGACGTAGTTGCGTATTTTTGTGTGCCAACCAAGTAGGCAGAATATTCTTACGATGTCACCGATTACTCACGATAGACTGGCCTTGCCGTCATGAGGAAACCATTACCATCTGCTCACCTACGCAATTGAGGAACGGAAACGGGAGTCGTTTCTTTTCTAAATGATTGGGAGCGGCTTCCCGCGAGTCAGGGCCGCTTAACAGTGTAAATAAAATATTAGAGGCTGCCTCTCTCTCTCGCCGTGCCGAGTCCTATTTCAATAATTGCACCGCGCAGCAAGCAACATTCCTGATACTGTCGAGTGCGAAGTATTTGGGTTATTGTCGATATATGCGCGTTGAGAAAAAGTCTCGCCGCGATACCGGATATATCGAATTCGGTGTACAGGCAGAGCTAAATTTAACCAGCCGCGGTTGCGCGATACTAATTATTCGCGGCACCGACAAATTACTTTCACATTTCACCGTATCTTTGTTCCTTATTAATGTTTTCATCCACGCATCGTAACGCGCCCATTCACAGCTTCGTAATTACTAGGAAGTGCGTAATTACTGCCGTCGCGTTCGAGAGGATTTAACGTTGGGAATATTGCACTGGCGATTTATTTCATCCCTATCGTAATTTTCTCTCATCGTATACCGGCTACCATTCATAAAAAAAAAAGAAAGAAACGAGCGAATACGTGCCCAGCCAGACAATGCTGTTTTTGAAAGCGCAGTAAAATAGCTCAAAACTCTTACATAACATATAAATTTCCTCTCTGGAATCGCGCAATAGCCGTCAGAGCGACGGTGACGACCAGTTTTTTTAACCGCTTTGCTCGTACCGTTACAAACAATATAAATCAACAAACTTTGTTTTTCACTATACGTCATATCGAAAATTCATAAAAGATTCGACGAGGTTTTCGGCTGGCTTCAATCTACCCCCCGTACTCGTAATTGTCTTGAGAAAAATCATAGACTTATATACATACTGAGAAAAAAGGTTCCGTACTTCTAACTATATAATCACAGAGAAATAATTATTATAAATTATAGTCAAGGAAACTATTTTTCATTAATAGATTTAAATAAATATGTGTTATTAGTACCTACTCAGACAACACAGAGAATTCAAAAAGAATTCAGTCGTATGTCACCAATTCTGAGTTCATTTTTAGATGTAAAAAAAATTCACTGAACTGAACTCTGAAGAATTCTGAAAATGAACTCAGAATTGGCGACATACGACTGAATTGTTTTTGAATTTTCTGTGCTATCTGGGTATCGAATAATTATTTTTTATTGTTAAAATACTTTTTCAATGTAGCTTAACTTCTACTGGACGCCTTTCTGTAATAATGAAGGAGTCCAGCTGGACAAAGGTCGAACGTCTGTGAACAGTGTGAAGCTGTCCTTCTCGAATCTTGTTTTCAATCTTGTTCCTCTCGCAGGAAGGCGCATAGTCCATGTACATAAGTCTGTGGGAAAAAATTTCCCGGAATGCAATAGTCTCTGCTGCTTATGTAATCGAACTATCGATAGCTGGCAGTCGATCAGGCAGTCGCGCGCGGCAACCTTGACGCAAGCCTCGTGTTTCCGGGGCCAGCCAGGTGACTTTCGTAGCTGGCCGGGATCTCCGACTGATCGACTGTCCGGTCCACTCGCTCGCCGGCTGCCGGAAGAAACGCGCGACCACCGTCGACGGGGGACCGACGGAATGCCGGTCGTTGCGAGGCGCAACGGAGAATCAGTCCGGCCCGAATAATCCGCTCGGCCGCGTGAAAGCGAAAGTTCGCCAGCGGGGACCAGCACCCAGAGAGAAGCGCAGAGGAGAAGGACGGCTGCGGCGGACGAAGCGCGGTGAAATCGCGCGCGCGGCCTCCCTCCCCCCCCCCCC